TCATTAATACAATTTTATATAAGATTCTGGATGCCAGATTCTTAATTATAATGCTCAGGTAAAGTCTACTCCAGACACCAACCACCTGAAGGAATATGTTAATTCTTATTTACATAGGGACTTTATAATAATGGCAAAAGAATTTGCTAAGAACGACTAAACCTAGTATACTCAATGTGAAGTATCTATAGTTTGCCTCACAAACCTGAATACAACTAACCATAAAATACACATACGCTGGTTATGAGTCCCCACATACTTCTCCTGAAGAAACTGGCATTAATTTTTACTTAGGAAATAATCTATGCTGGTGCAGAATAATTCCCTTTGTCCTCAAGTTTATGTGCTGGGACGTTTGCTTACTAGTTCAGGGTTTGTGTTAACACATTTTAGAATCTACTTATACAGTCAAGTACAAAGAACAGCCATTGAATGCTGAATCTTTCTTAACTGATTTCTATGGAAAGCTTATGTTCTTTGTAATATACCTTAGCTGGCTGTGGTTCTATGGTGCATTAATTCTAGACCTAATTGGAACACCCTGTCTGGCAGTTCTATTAGGATCAACATTCTTGACTTTGGAGAGCAGAAGATATTTTAAATTCACTTTGGTGGGAAGAGTCAATTTCTGCCTGAGAAGAGAAAAAAACAGATTTTCTGAAATATGAGTATAGGATCTTGTACAAGACCATTAAACACTCTCCTTAGCCATTTGGAACTCAAGGAATTGCTTTCTAATTAATTTATGTCATTATGTTCTCGGTTACATAGATACTTACTAAATCTTTCCTAAAGAAAAATTATCCTGGCGAGGCATGGTGTCTCACACCTGTAATCTGAGCACTTTGGGTGGCCAAGGTGGGCAGATTGCTTGAGACAACAAGTTTGAGACCAGCCTGGGTAACATAACAAGACCTCATCTCTACAAAAAATAAAAATAATTTAAAAAAAATTAGCAGGGTGTTGTGTGGTGATATGTACCTGTGGTCCCAGCTACTTGGGAGGCTAAGGCAAGAGGATTGCTTGAGTCCAGGACGTTGAGGTTACAGTGAGCCATGAGGTTACAGTGAGCCATCACATAATTGCCTTCCAGCTTGGGCAACAGAGGAAGACCCTGTAGAAAGAAAGAAAGAAAGAGAGAAAGAGAGAAAGAGAGAAAGAGAGAAAGAAAGAGAGAAGGAGAGAAGGAGAGGAAGGGAAGAAGGGAGAAAGGGAGGAAGGGAGGAAGGGAGGATTGGAGAAAAGAGAAAGAAAGAAAGAAAAGAGAAAGTGAAAGAAAAAGAGAAACTGAAAGAAAAAGGAAAGAAAGAAAGCAAAGAAAGAAAGGACAGAAAGATTTTTTTTTGGTTTGTGCTTAATTCAGTCTTCCTTTTGTTATTTAAGTATCTACTGAATTGGGCCTAACTCCCTAAACTTTTCTTTCCTCTTGAGAATCCCATCATATCAAACTACTTTTATTTCCTTTTTGCTTTTTTTTTCTCAGAAATTAATTTTGTAATTCTCAGTTTCTTCCCAAATGATCTCTTCACTGTTTCTTGTTCAAATCTGACAATAAAAAACACAACACATTTCTGGCTGTCACTTGCAGAAAAATAGTCTTGAAACCTCAACAGTTCTTGGTTCCTGCTTCTCTAGAGCCACCAATACTAATTTTTCTTTTTCTTTCTTGCTTTTTTAGATACCGGATCTTGCTCTATTGCCCAGAGTGCAGTGGTGGGATCACAGCTCACTGCAGCCTGGAATTCCTTGGTTCAAGCCATTCTCCTGCCTCAGCCTGCCAAGCAGCCAGGACTATAGGCACACACCATCACACCTGATTAGTTTTTAAAATTTTGGTAGGGACGAAGTCTCGCTGTGTTGCCCAGGCTGAGACTAATTTTTCAATATTAATTCCTACTGACTAATCAGAGTGTAAAAGATGTGGACATTACAAAGTAAAGAAAATTTTGGTTATGTTGGATATATTAGCTAGAACTCATGGCATTGGCTGTAATAGCATTACCATATGTCCCAGCAATTCCACTCCTAGATACATATCCAAAGGAATTGAAAGTGGGGACTTGAACAGAGATATCTACACACGAATGTTCATAGAAGCATTATTCACAATAGCCAAAAGGTGGAAATGTGGAAACAATTCAAATGTCCATTAGCCAGGATTACAAATGGATAAACAAAATGTGGTATACACATACAATGGAATATTATTGAGCTTTAAAAAGGGGTAAAATTCTGATCCATGCTACAACATGGATGAACCTTGAGAACATTGTGCTAAGTGAATAATCCAGAAACAGAAGAACAAATATTGTATGATTCCACTTATATGAAGTACTTAGGATAGGTAAACTCAGAATTAGAAAGTAGAATAGAGGCTACCAGAAATTAGGGAAAGGGGAAAAGGAGGAGTTCCTGTTTAATGGGCAGAAATTTCATTTCTTTCTTTTTTTTTTTTAATTATACTTTAAGTTCTGGGGTACACGTGCACAATGTACAGGTTTGTTACATAGATATACATGTGCCATGTTGGTTTGCTGCACCCATCAACTCGTCATTTACATTAGGTATTTCTCCCAACGCTATCCCTCCCCCAGCCCCCCCACCCCGCAACAGGCCCCAGTGTGCGATGTTCCCCTCCCTGAATGGGCACAAATTTCTTATTGGGGATAATGAAAAAGTTCCGGGTATGGATAAGAGTGGTGGTTATACAACATTGTGAGTGTATTTAATGTCCCTGAATTATACACTTATATATGGTTAAAATTATAAATATTATTCAGGTTTTACCACAATGAAAGAAAGGAAGAAAGCGCGCCTTCTAGTGGAAGCTGGGTGCAGAGAGCGCTCTGTATTCTTGGCTGCAGCTGTCTAGAATGGAGACTGTCTCGCTAAGCTGGGACTTGGGAGTCTTGGATAAAATACCACAGACCCTTGCCTTTCTTACCAATTTTTTATATCTCTTACCTGAAGAGATGTTTCTTCTTTTGCTATTTGCCCTTAGGATCATTTCCAGAGGGTCTGAGTCATTTTTCGAGAATTTTCACCAATTTCACTGAGAAGTCAGTTAGCAGAGCTCTTTACGCTGTCATGCCAGAAGTTGATTGGGAAGACTATATTTCAATTGTTAGTTATGTTACTCAATTTGGAGGATTGCTTATAACGTTGTTGCACTGGTTGTAAAACTAAATCTTTAGGATTAAAATGTTTTCTTGAGAAACGTGGCAATATTACTAAAAACCATGGCAATCTCTCCCCCCAAAATGGGATTTTTAGTAACTTTATCACCGTCCTGAGGCTTCCTTTTAAAAACTGAAGCTTTGACATTTTTACTACATTATTTTAAGAGAAAGGTAAGGCTCTATAGATTCCCCACGCATTCTTGAATAAATGAGTGAATGAATGAATGAATGTTTTTGTTTATGAACATGGTGGCCATTTGCTACTGTGTGCTTTGACAGTAAGACTCCCCCTATACCTGCTTGTTACTGAATTCTACAATTCTATCACTCAAACCCTATCTTAGTTCAAGCTGCTATAACAAATTACCATAGACTGGGTGGCTTAAATAACAAACATTTTTCACAATTTTGGTGCCTGAGAAGTCCGAGATCACGGTGCAGGCAGATCCGGTATTTGGCGAGGGCCTCCTTCCTTGCTTGCAGATACCGTCCTCCTGTATCCTCATATGGCAGAAAAAGAGCGAACTAACTCTGTGGCCTCTTAAAAGGGCACTAATCCTACTCATGAGGGCTCTACCCTTGTGAGTTAATTACCTCACAAAAGTCCCACCTCCAAATACCATCACATCAGGGGGTTAGAATTCAACGTATGAATTTCAACACACTGGGGGGTTCACTATAGCAAATGCATGGTTTTGTTATTTTCCTCTATGCAGCCTACAGAAAGTAACTTTCCTCTCCAGTATTTTTGAGAGGAATGATGATTCAACCTTTCTATTAAGAATAGTTTATGCAATCAAAATGTTATTTTCTCCAAGAGACAAAGACTTGATATTTTATCAGTATCCAAATAACTGGCCTATCCAACTACTGGAATAATTTTACATCTCAGCGAAGGTGCAAGAAATTAATATTCATGAGCATTTACTGTGTGGTAGGACTATTGCAAATATTATTTTATTTAACCCTTGCAGCAGTATCTAGGAGTTAGAGCTTATTAGTATCATTGAAGATGAAGAATTAAGACTTAAAGGTTGGGTCTTTTCCAAGGTCATACAGCTAATTAACAGTAGAGCTGCAAGGAAAAAAGAGAACAGGAATAGGGCAGTCAGACAGCAGTAGGTTGGCCCTAGATGTCACAGGTGGGGGTTTCCAAAGGAAGGATAAATGTCTCTGCAAGAAAAGCATCATTGATTCGTTGCTATTTTATCATCTACAAAACATTCCCTGCCAAATCTTCAGAGGACAATTCTAAAGAAACTTAAAAGGATAACTTCTAGTTTGTTCATGTTTAAAGTCGAAGAACACATTATTGCCGTGTTTTTATAAATTCATGTTGACTAAACATATTTAAAGATCATTGTGTTTTAGAACATTTATTTCTGAAATTTAACTTTATTTCTGAATCAAGTTCCTCAGTAATACGGACCTCATGAGTGCCATTATTATATTTTATAAATAATATAGGTAAAACACTTTTCAGGTACGGAGAGACTGGAAGTCCCAGAGCTAAGGCCTGGCTAATTTTTATGAGAAAGGCAGGTTGGGGTGTGTTTGTGTAGTTGTTGTACCCTTAGGGAAAGGGTACCACTTAGTAGACCCTTAGAACCCAGGATGAGGAGCTGTATTTAACGAGAATAGACACAGTAACCTGCAAGAGATATATTCAAAACAGTTACAAACTTTTGGAGGAAAAAAGGTAGGAAGGGAGACGTTGGGGGCTCGGGAGATCCATTGCTTGGAGATCGGCTTAGCCAGGCTCGGGGCGGGAGGGTCCTCCGAGGGGCTGATGAATCGGCGCTCGACTGGCCTAGGAGCTGCCCGCAGGGAGTCCTGTGAGGACTGGGCCGGACGCCCGCGGAAAAGGTGGGGAGCGGGGCCCGACGCCCGCGGGGAAGTGGGGACCCTGCCGAGCCGTCCAGGCAGCGGTCGATCTCTAGAGCCATCTGCCGGGCAGGCAGCGGACGGGCGCGGCGAGTTGTTGGTCACCAGCCGACTCCAGGCCGCGGGCCGGCGCCAGGAGCCTCAGCCGCGTTTCCAGTCAGACAGCCGTGAGGCTTGAGGCCCGCTCGCGCGCAGGACTGGCCCAGTTCCCCGCGGGGTGGGACTGACTGTGCTTCCGGCCCGTCCCTAGAGTCGGCTGATTGGTGTCTTGTGTTCTGGTGTGTGGCGCCCCCTGAGCGAGCTCTGAGGGGACGTACCCACCTGTCTGAGCCGCCGGTTTCACAGCGGTGGTAGGAAGCGGGAAACTGGGGGTGGAGTGACGCGCCCCTGTGTCTCGTTCTTGCGCCACTCTCCGGGCCCTAAGGCCTCTGCCTTGGATGTAGGATATTCTCCTTAGGAAATCCACAGAGCTGTTATTTTGCTGTAGGTGCTGATTCGGTTCCCGGCCGGACCCTTCCAGCCCCGTTGGTGCCTGGGGAGAGGGGGTGACATCTGGGGCTCCGACAATTGTATGGTCCTTTCCCAGGCCGAGCCTCGGAGTAATTTGTTCCCGTTGATTTTTCCTTCTTTGTCAAATTCTCTGCAGTTATTTGTGACGGTCGGTTATTCCTGTAAATGTTGGTCCCAACTTCTTCCGTAACTCACAAACATTTCTAGCAAATCAATAATTTGTATCTGAGTTTCTGTACGTTTAAAATAAGGAGTATATTTCTGAGTAAAAATAGTAAGAAATAAGTAATAGGCCCGCAATTTTATACAATAAGTTTATACAATATACTATACACTAATTGTATGCAATACAATAATTTTATACGATAATTGTATACAATGCAATAATTGTATACAATGCAATAATTTTATACAATTATTGTATACAATAATTTTATACAATTATTGTATACAATAATTTTATACAATTATTGTATACAATAATTTTATACAATAAGTAAAATTACAGAAGACAAAATGGTGAATTGTTAATATAACTAGAGATTAATTGTATCTAGTTGTATTAATATTTAAGTAGAGATTGTCATTAATATAATTAGAGAAGGTGCAGGTCTGCACTGCTAATTATGTAGTCTCAAAAAGTATTTTAACAGTGATTATAGCAGAGCAGACACTTAAAAATAAAACTACCTGGGATATTGTTTATTGTGTTTGGCAATCTAATTTTGTGCCACCTGCTGAAACTAAAACTTTAATAATGAATAATGGGAACTTAGAAAATCTGAATCTAAACCTAGAACTTTAATTAATTTAAAATAGCATCCCCTCACATCAAACTGATACTAAACTGTAGCAAGGTCCCTTTTAGGACCTGTGTTTGTTTTTTTAAAAAAGATTTATTTACATAATGAAAGTGCTAAATTCATCATCTTTTAGAACCTTCATGATTTTATTTACATAAATCCTGAATTAGAAAAAAGTTCGACATTTTTCAGATTGGTCAAATTTTAAGTTTCTAAGTTAACAGAAAATTATTTTTATTTAACATTATTTTTATAAACTGGTTATTGCTAATGCATTTATTCCACAATAAATTTGTATGGACCATTTACTGTATGCCAGGCACTATTCTGTTATTGGAACACATTAGTGAGCAAAAAGTCCATGCTTGCTCTAAAGGAAGAAACATAATAAACAACTAAGCATATACTATAATGTTAGTTATCAATTCATGTTATGAACAAAAATAATGCAGGATGAGAGGATGCAGTTTTAGATACGGGGTGTTTTTTTCCATAGGAGTGTATAAGAAGTAAAATATGTACACGATATTTTTATTCTGAACCCAAAACAAGTTATATTCTTGTATGCTAGAACTAGAAATCAAAAATTCTTTTGAAAATATATACTGTTTGTATAGGAGGTTTTTGTTAGTTCATGCAACACTTTTCTTCCCAAATGTTTTAAATTTGTAGTTTTGTTGTCTATTTGTAGTTGCTTTGGGAAGAAAGTATTCAAGTGTGTAAATGTTAGCCTTAAGATTTTCGACTTAAATTCTGAGGTAGCAAAGCCATATGAAAGTGGTCTGGTGAGATTTATTTTAGAAAAAGTTTCTTTTGTTTGAACGTAGTTTTCCTAAAACTAGAAAGGGAACATTTTATTTGTTACTTTTTGGGCACTATAAAAACGTGATTAACATTTTCATTTATACTTTTTCAGATAATTGTTTTCAAGTTCTGAAATTGTTTACTTAAAGCTGTTAAAGACTTCGCATATTTCTGAATGACTCCCTCTACCTCCTGCCCTATTATCCTAGGCTTCTATTTTGCTTATAAATTGTTTTAGACATTTGTAGAACCACACTAATTTGTTTCATTTTTATACTTGTTTTTGTTGGTAACTGATTAATAGATAGAGAAAAATGAAGAGGGCAATTATATTAAACAGATGGAAGGGGGAAGAACCCAATAACGAAAACAGCGAAAACCCCCACGATATTCTATATCAGTAAGAACAGCCCTAAAGTATGTATATAGGTTTAGTTCTCATACAGCAGCATTTGTCAAGCAGTGTATGTGGAAACATTCTCCCTTCCCCACATCACTCCCACTTGTATCTCATCCCCACATCAAGGAGGATTCAAAATTAGAGAGACATAATCTGACTTGGTAATGCGTATTTCTCCAGTAGATGGCATTAATACAATTTCTTCGATTGTAGTTTCTGTCTTGAGGACAAATTTACAATTTATTAACTAAAACAGAAGAAACAGAAATGTGATTTATGTTTTGCAATTCATCTGATTTTATGGTTTGTCATATAGAATGTTCTTTGATGTTTAAGAATTTAGAAAAAAATGGGATATGCAGGGAAAAATAATTCTAATGGGAGCTATGTATGTATCTAGAGACTAGTTTTTTTTTTTTTAATCACATTTGCATCTTTGTTCAGCCCCAGATTTTTGTTATGTTCCAAGGTGGCCATTGCTGAATGTTTTTATCCTTTGTGTTTAGATAATATCTCTGAGTGCAAAAATTATCTTTTGAAAAAGAATGTAAACATATGTAGTATATGCATTATGTAATATGATTGTAAATATGCATATGTATGTTAAACTTGTAATTTTTTAATTTTGAAAAAGTTCAAACATATGAAAAAATATTATAATGAACCCCATGTACCTATTACATAGCTTTTGCTGTGATCAACTCATTGTCAATATTATTTCAATAATCCTTCATCTCTCCCCTTTATTTTGAAGCAAATCCCTGCATATGTACATAGTATATTGTAAGAGGTGCACACATTCACAATAAAATGTGCTGTCCTAACTCAAAAATAAAGGTGTGAACAAAATATTAAGAGCCCAAGAAGCCTGATTAATTCTGCCTTGAGGAAGAAGACAAATTCAGAAAAGCCTTTGAAGAAGAAATGACATTTGACCTATACCTTGAAGGATGGGAGGAATTTGCCAGTTGGAGAATGGAAGAAGACACGTTCCAAGCATTGGAGCACTATGAGGAGAAGGGAGCAAGTTTGAATACATGAATGAGTGGAAAACAGAGAATAATGTATTTGAATGTTGAAGTGCTTCGAAGGAAGCTGCAGATGATGAAGCTGGAAGGATAGCCTTTGGTTAGATTTTACAGGAGACTGTGGAAAATTAGTGATTATAGTTTATACAGAAATATTTTTCTACATCTTTATAAACTACTTTTTCCATATTTTGTAGATTTATGACAAAGTCCAGTTTTCAACAATGCTGAAATCAAATGATTGCTTGTTTTCTTTGGATAATTTGTTTTTTGAAAAACCAGATGAAGTTGAAAAGTAAGTCTCCCTTAAAGATTGATAACACAGTGTATTACTTTAGGGTTTTTTGAATTTGGGTGAGTTTTAGTTTTCTCTCTGGTAAATATACAAATAAAAATGAGGAATCAACAGAACGATATTTCAGTTACATATTTGGTAAACATGGAATTCTCTTACCAGTAGTATAGGGGAGTAACTGAAGTTTAACATCTTAAATGTTATGATTTAAAAACTAGAATAGATTTGGGCCTGGCGTAGTGGCTCATGCCTGTAATCCCAGCACTTTGGGAAGCTGAGGCGGGTGGATCACCTGAAGTCAGGAGTTCGAGACAAGCGTAGCCAACATGGTGAAACCCTGTCTCTACTAAAAGTACCAAAAAAGTAGCCGTGCCTGGTGGCGTATGCCTCTAATTCCAGCTACTTGGGAGGCTGAGACATGAGAATCGCTTGAAGCCAGAGGTAGAGGTTGGAGTGAGCCAAGATGGTGCCACTGCACTCCAGCCTGAGCAACAGAGTGAAACTCAAGAATCGATTATTGCCTATTTGGTTGCATTTATTTGCATTTCTGGTTTGTTCGAATTATTTTTGTCCAAGCTAAAAATGAGAAATAATGCTTAAAGAGTAGCTCAGGACAAGGAATGACATCACCATTTGGAAACAATGAACAGTATGCCAAAGGCAAAGTATGATAGGCACATTAAGTGCTGGCAGGAAGTAGGGGTGGGAATAAAGATGTGAGACCAAAGAAAACAAGACTGGAGAGTAGGTAGTATGTTAAATACTGGCTTTTATGGATTTTCATGTGCATTGTTCAATTTTGAATTTTCTATGTATTTTTAGTGTATTGTACTATCCTATTTTAGTGAGGTACATTTATTGCCTCATTATTTTACTTGTTCAAATATTGATTGAAAGTTGAAAGGGTTATAAAAAGGATGAAACAGACTTTTACTTACAAAATACTTAAAATCTAGTTGAGATTAAACACACAAATGGAAAGGCATTAATAAATAATATGACCATGTAAATAACCATCTATACTGGGACACTTTTGAGAGTGAAAAAGCACATCCAACTGGGGCGACATGTGTTAATCAGGACTGGCCAATGCAAATTTTGTAACATGGTTGTTTTTCTGAAAATATAGTCAAAAATATGTGTGAAGCAAATGAGAAGCATATGTTCATGCAACGAAATTTCAGACTTGGAAGGAAGGTTGTCTTGCTCTACACAGTCAAGTCAGGCTTTTTGGGTAGTAGGGGGAAGCTGTAGGAGGCTTTGAAGGATTTGATAATTCCTATAGGAAGAGAAGAACTGGGCATTTGAAGGTAGAGTGTTAGAGCAAGAGAAAAATAATGGAGATAGGACAATTCATGGTACTTGTAAGGGATAACGTGTAGAGAAGTTGCCTGGAATAGACGATTCATGAGGGAGAAACATTGGGACGGACATAAAGTTAGAAATTCTAAGTTGAGGTTAGATGGTGATGTGTGTTAAGTGCTGGAATAAGGATTTTGGATATAATTCACTGTGGGTTAAAGGCTGTGGAATTAAATCAACAAATATTTATTGAAATTATGTAAAGGACTTTGCTAAGTACTGCTGATGTAAATGGACATAAAAATAAAACTCAGGTGTTTATAATCTAGAGGGAGTATCAAATATCTGTCAAAGCTATCCATCTACTTATCTGCCTGTTTCTTGCTATTATCTATCTGTACATTCACACACCTCAAGGCAGACTATATACATATTATAGATTCCTTCTATAAGAAGAACGGAGGAGAAAATCTTTGGGAACCTAGGGAGATTTCTTGGAAAAGGTAGGATTTGAGCCAGCCTTTGAATATAAGCTCTAGTGCCTAGAATAATACCTGGCACATAGTACTCGATAAATAATTACTGAATGGATTAATGAATGCATAAAATAGTGGAACTTCTGTAGGTAGATGTCTGAGGGGGACAGGGCACAGGGGCAAGCTGAGTAAATATCTTTGAATGAGGGTGAGGAGTAACCAGGTACGGTGGCTCACACCTGTAATCTCAGCACTTTGGGAGGTTGAGGTGGGCAGATCACTTGAGTCCAGGAGTTTGAGACTAGCCTGGCCAACATGGTGAAACACCGTCTCTACTAAAAATACAAAAATTAGCCGGACATGTTGGTATATGCCTGTAATCGCAGCTACTGGGGAGGCTGAGGCATGAGAATCACTTGAACCCAGGAGGTGGAGGTTGCAGTGATCTGAGATCTCACCACTGCACTGCAACCTGGGCGGCAGAGTGAGACTCTTGTCTCAGAAGGAAAAAAAAAGTTGAGAGATGGAATGCATTATCTATTTGTTATACAACAGGGAGTTCAGTTTAGTTTGGACTATAAGGTATGTGTAGGAGGGTTAAAACTGTAAGGTAGTCTTAAGGCTACTAGGAGGTTTGGCAATCTTTGAAAGCCACTGAAGGATTTTGAATGGAGTAATGAAAGCAATTCGAAATGAATGTGGTAGGAACTTGTAAAATATATTAGAAAGCGTGGAGGCAGTGAGGGCAGTTAAGACAAGTTAATAAGAGCCTTGATTATTTTAATGACCATGGAAACACAAAGGAAATGATGAATTTAAGAAGCATTACAAGGAATATACAGTAAGACCTAGTATGTATCTAGATCTACTTAGTAAAAAAGATACTGTGGTTTGGATTCTGGGTGACTGGGATGATGATGTCACCTCTGGAAAAAAGATTGGGAAATTATAAGGAAGATTTGATTTTATTAAGAGGCAGAATAGTAGAGCTATTATTCCTCTTTCTTGGATTTTCTGAAATAGTCCTTGTGTAGAAAAGAGTTAACATAGCAGCCTAAACTGCTGTTCTTGAAAAGGCCTGCTTGCAAGGTTGGCTTTGGCTAGCGTCTGAGAACTTAGATTTCAGGAAGATCCCCTCCATAACTGACAACACTGGCTTGCTGTGTGTAAACTGTTTATACAAATAATATGGTTTATGTGAACACCTGCTTTTTTTCTGAGATTCTGGAATTTAGGTGTGTGCCAGACAGGGGATGCTTATGCTAATGTTAGTTAGCCCCCAGTAAAAACCTGGGCATTGAGTCCTTGAAGAGCTTCCCTTCTTTGGCAACATTTCACGGGTATTGTCCTAAGTCATTACTGAGATAATTAAGTGCCTCCGGCAGAGTCTGCTGGGAGAAGACTCTTAAAAGGTCATGCCTGGTTTTTCTAGAGTTTGTCCTGGTAGCCATGAGTAGGACTGTATGCTGAGTCTTATGAGTCATTTTAGGGAATTATTGAACTGGGGGTGATTTTGGGGACCCTCTGACATAGTCCTAAATTTTAAAAGATCTGGCCTGTTATTAAACAGTCTGTCAGACGTTGCCAGATAATGCGTTGTAGATTTTTTACCTGGAAAATATGGTCAGAATAGCTATGTGCTAGGTGCTCTGAGAGACAGAAAAGTAAAAGACTGAGTCTCTCACTTTAGAGAGCGTAACATCCTAAATGACTAGATCGTAAAATCTTTGGGACTTAGTATAGACAAAATATATGATGCTCTTCTCAACTTTATTTCCTGTCACCCAACACTTATCTTTTTGTCCTAATGAAGAACAAGTCAACTTTGATGGGAAAGGAACCATTAAAGCAGTATCAGTTAACACGATCACAGTTGAAAGACAAGGAGGGGTAGTTAATGATGCCAACAGGGTGGCAAAAATTTCAATTACTATAGGTTATAAAGAGATTGTCAGTTTCAAATGATTTCTTGGCTTTTTCTGTAGTTTGTAGATGGTTCTGGACTAAGAATATTTAGGTTAGGACATTAAGTTGTAATAATGTTATAGGAATACTCTACAACGGTCCCCAACCTTTTTGGCACCAGGGACTGAATTTGCAGACAGTTTTTCCACAGATGGTTTCAGGATGAAACTGTTCCACCTCAGATCATCAGGCATTAGATTCTCATAAGGAGCATGCAACCTAGAGCCCTCTCATGTGCAGTTCACAATGGGGCTCGCACTCCTGTGAGAATCTAATGCTGTTGCTGATCTGACAGGAGTCAGAGCTCAGGCAGTAATGCTCACTTGCCTGCTGCTCACCTCCTGCTGTGCAGCCAGGTTCCTAACAGGCCAGTATCAGTCTGCAGCCCAGGCATTGGGGATCCCAGCTGTGGAATATCGGTAATGGTGTCATTTACACATTGATGACCCATGATTAGTTGTGAGATATGTCAAGTAGTTTGTTACTTGTAATAGTTAAAATGCTAAAGTTTGAGAATGATTTACTACTTTGTTTTTATATTGGAGCAGATTTAAGATTCCTGTTACTTGCATTTGAATTGGAGAAAAGGATATAGAGTTATTGCCATTATTTAGGTAGCATATCTCACACAGCGGTTTCATTAATCCTATGATACATAAGGGTAAAAGGTTGAGAACACTACTGTGTAGGGATAAATCAAAGTGCTGACAGAAAGTTAATTTGTAGGATGTTTAAGAGTCTATAATTGAGTAATGTTTAATAAATACATAGCTTATCATGTTATATCTTTATTAACATATGTACTCACATTTTTATATTTTATATAGCCATCCAGATAATGAAAAGTCATTGGATTGGTTTCTCCCTCCTGCTCCATTGATTTCAGAAATTCCAGATACTCAGGAGTTAGAGGAAGAATTAGAAAGTCATAAACTGTTAGGTAAATTATCACATATTTGTTTTGAAGCCAAACCCATACAGTTCATGGCAATATTTATTTTAAAGCCCTGATTTGATTATTACACATTGTGTATGCATATATCAGAATATTGCATATGCCCCCAAAATATGTATGGTCATATTGGGTATTGATTTCAGAAATTTCAGATATTCAGGAGTTAGAGGAAGAATTAGAAAGTCTTGGTGGCCAAGGTGGGCAGATCACGAGGTCAGGAGTTTGAGACCAGCCTAGCCAATATGGTGAAACCCCATCTCTACTAAAAGTACAAAAAAAAAAAAACAAAAAACCTAGCTGGGCATGGTGGTGTGTGCCTATAGTCCCAGCTACTCAGAAGGCTGAAGCAGGAGAATGGCTTGAACCCAGGAGGCGGAGGTTGCAGTGAGCTGAGTTTGTGCCACTGCAGTCTATCCTGGGCAATAGAGGGAGACTCCGTCTCAAAAAAAAAAAAAAAAGAAAGTAATAAACTGTTGGGTAAATTATCACTTATTTGTTGTGAAGCCAAACCCATACAGTTCATGGCAATATTTTTTGTAAAACTCTGATTTGATCATTACACATTGTGTGTGCATGTATCAAAATATCAGATATCCCCCCAAATATGTGTACTTATTATGCAAACAATGAAAATGTCTTTATTTTAATGAAATAAAATGAAAATCGGATCCTTCTTTTATTAAAAAGAGTGCTCACCAAGCTGGTGAGCTACAGGTCCCAGCTACTTAGGAAACTGTGAATAGCCACTGCACCCCAGCCTGGGCAACATAGTGAGACCCTATCTCTAAATAAATAAATAAACAGATCCCCTTTATCTCTAAATACATACATACCCCCAAAAACAAAATAGTGCCCACCAAATCTTAAAATTTAAAACATTTTTCTTCTCTATGCATGTAATACACATACATATGCATACATAAATGCACGCAATACACTATTACACACACTTTGATTTTTGTTTTATGAATGTTTTTTCTGTGACTATTAAAACTCCTATCACTGCTGTTCAGTTTGCCTTGCCTTTTACTAAAGGTAAGATCGCCTGATAACCAGATCCCAGAACTATTGAGTGAAAAAAGGGAGATGCAGAAGGTTAAATATAGTGTGATACCATTTTTAGAAAGCTCAAAAACAAGCACATTCAAACAATGTATGTGACATAATGTAATATTACTAAAATTTTAATTTTTAAATTGGGTTGTATGTTCATGCACATACATTTTATTATTAAGCTTCATAATTTACGTATATGTTATATATATACTTACATCAAATAATATATAGCATAGAGTACAATGTAGATACATAGATGCTAAAGCAAATTTAAGTTCTAGTAAGATGTCCAAATTCCCCCTAAACTTCCCTAAAAATTCTTGTAAAGCCTCTAAAGAAACCTTTAAAATTCTGTCACTCTGATGAAAACATTCCTTTATTTTGATTTTAGAAGCAAGATTACAAACTTAAAAGCATTAGATACGTTAATAATGAATTGTGTTTGGTAACATTGTATATAATTGGTCATTGTATTTCTGTGTGTAAATCATTTATATAAATTGTAAATCTTCATAATTGTATAATTGTATAATTTGTTATGGGTCAGAAAGTAATTAAACCTATTTTATAATGCAGGTGCCATATAAACTTCCAATTTAATTCAGTAATTCCATATTAATTTCTGAGTGTCTTTTAATGATGTAATATACCATAAGTGTAACAATCACCTGTATTTTAAAACTGTATATGGTATTACAGATTATCTTATTATTAGTGCTTTGCTTTTGGCTTTCATATTTAACTTGGAATTTTTATTAAAGTTTTTCATCATCATTTTGAAAGTTTTCTTTAATGGAGAACGCATAATAATTAATATATTCCTTTTTTGTAGGTCAGGAAAAGAGGCCAAAAATGTTAACATCAAATTTAAAGATAACTAATGAAGGCACGAATTATATTTCACCAACACAAAAATTCCAATTTGCCTTTCCTTCTGATAAATATGAACAGGATGATTTAAATTTAGAAGGGGTAGGTAAAAATGACTTATCACATGTTGCTGGCAAGCTGACATATGGTTCTCAGAAGTATAAAAATCACATTGGCACTGAGATAGCACCTGAGAGGAGTGTTCCTGATGATACAAAATTAGTTAATTTTGCAGAAGATAAAGGAGAGAACACATCAGTGTTCCGGAAAAGGTAATTATTATAATTAAATGAAATAATATTCTGTGAATAAATTTGAATATTTGTACGTCTAAAAGTATTAAATATGGTAGAATGTGAATGAGAAAAACAGCAAAATTCTATCTCCTAAATAATTCCTTACTTTCTGCATTCCTGGTGTCATAGTCCTTGTCCTACACATAAAAATAACCGTAATTGTAATATTTAACTATCTACTACAAATAGTACCACAACAGTCCAGGTGGGACACAGGAATCTTCATTTTGAACAAATTTTCTAGATGATTATTATGCACACAAAAGTTTGAGACCCATTTTCCTAATGCCTGGGGTTTTAAACAGAGGAATGAAATTAGATTTTCTTTTCTTTAAGGGTTCATTTTGACCCCAGTATGGAGCATAAATTATAATAGAAGGGAGTTAAAATAAATTGTGAAGGTCTGCTAGAAAGATTGTCTTATTAGTCTAGATGGGAGAAAATGGTAGCCAGACGTAGGACAGTGGTATCAGGAATGGAGACAATCCAGAATGATTTAGGAGATACAATCCCACAGGACTTAAGTGATTATTGGATATGAGATCTGACTCCTAGGTTTTTGGTTTGAGCCAGAATGATGAAGATTGGTAGTGCCTTTTTTTGATTTAAAGAACTATAAAGTTAGAACAGGTTCGGAGGAAGGTGATGAGTACAGGTATGGCCATGTTGATTTTAGATATTTATAAATAGTCCAGATATTCAATTGGGTATATGGATTCAAGATACAGAAGAAGTTTAGTTGATTGTTTTTGTTTTCTCTGACATAGGAGATGTGGTTATCTGTGGAGTTTGAGGGGAAAAGTGAGAGTACTGAGCAAGAATGAGAAGAGTGGAATAAATTATGGAGAATGGGAAAGCAGTCTAATTAGAATAATGGTAGGATTGATGGACACTGTAAAGGGTCCAGCTAAGGTTGATCTCTATAATGTTTGTAATAACAGCTTTATTACGATTTAATTCACATACCATAAATTCACCTTTTTGAAGTGTAGAATTATTTTCTATTTTTTTCATTCTTATGTATTTACCCACATTGGTTTTTATAATACATAGTTTTGCAACCATCACTATTAACTAATTTTAAAACATTTTCATCTCCTGCAAAATAAATTCCTTACTAATTAACAGTTACTCTTCATTCCTCCCTTTCCACAGCACCTGGTGACCACTAATGTACTTTCTGTCTCTATCATCTCTATGGATTTACCTATTCTAAACATTTCATATAAGTGGAATTATACAAAATATGGCCATTTGTGCCTGGCCTCCTTCACTTAACATAACTTTTTTTTTTTGTAGGTGAATGTTTTTCTTTTCTTTATTTTACTTTAAGTTCTAGGGTACATGTGCACAATGTGCAGGTTTGTTACATATGCCCAGGTTGGTGTGCTGCACCCATTAACTCGTCATTTACATTAGGTATATCTCCTAATGCTATCCCTCCCCCAGCCCCCACCCCATGACAAATCCTAGTGTGTGATGTTCCCCACCCTGTGTAGAAGTGTTCTCATTTTTTAATTCCTATCTATGAGTGAGAACATGCGGTGTTTGGTTTTCTGTCCTTATGACAGTTGGCTCAGAATGATGGTTTCTAGCTTCATCCATGTCCCTGCAAAGGAT